ATAGTTAGTTCACTTTCCTTCAAATGCAAAAATTAAATAGAACAGTTAGCTCCCTTCTTTTCGGCAGTAATCGATTTAATGGCGACGGGCATAAGCCATGATTGAATTTTTGCACGAACTCTTCATCAAGTCCAAATTTCAAGAATTTGCGAACGACTGGACGTTTTTACGAGAACTTGGACCAGTAACTGGGGTGGCGCTCTTCGAAGAACCCTAAGGCCCAGTTTTATACTACTGGGGGATACTTGGCACCCATCCATTCTAGTCACGGCTAGCTGCATATTGGGATCCCGGATATAAAGTTGAATAACGAATAACGAGGTAGCTTCATGGATATGGTGATTCAGTTCCTTGTCCATAGGAAGCTTATTTTTTTTTATCAGACTCTCGGTAAACACGAGGCTTTCCATTGATAAATATTAGATAGAGCTCTTAACAAATCACAGACATCAACGTATAGTCGTTCGGATGGGACGAAAAAAACGAGTCCCATGTACAAATTGGCATGCTCTTTAAAGATCCCTTGGCAGTTGGAATTCGATATTAGAATAGGCAGTAGCGCTGCTGTCCAGGTTACATTTCCCTCATAGCACTCTGCTTGGCGTATGTCCGTTTTTATTTGCCCAGTCAAAGAAGTAGGGCGTTAAACTCCATTTCATTTATCATATCGTAAGATACGTTCCTCCCACAGCTAAAGACCCCTTTATGGAAATTATGGAAATAAAATTGAACCATATGTTAGTCCCGAAATGACCAAGTTTGTTTCGAGTGGACGTTAAATCCCATTTCTCTCTCTCTCTCTCTCTCTCTCTCTCTCTCTCTCTCTCTTTCTCACTTTGATAACCATTCAATGATTATTCCCTCGAACACCTCTTCCGAAGAACTTCTAATTAAATATTATATTGTTAAATATTATATAACAAGGTCAAAAGCTTCAAACATCCCTATTTGATTTCTTTAAGGTTGAAAAATTTATTGTTGAGAATGCTTGAATATTCCAGAACATCCCTAAATATTCCTTCTAACACCTTCTCCGAAGAGCTTCGAAATGAAATGAAATGAAAAGAAATGGTCCTACTGTTCTGCTCCGAACTCGACTAATGAAGACGGGCATGCGCCATACAGTGTGATATGAGGAAAATATTGCCCAGACAGCGGCACTACGGTCTTTTTTCATATAGAATTCCAACTGTCAAGGGATCTTTTACGTGCACGCCAATGACTAGACAGCTGTGCTTGTCAGGCCCTCTGTCCTGCATCACTCTCAATCAAATATAGAACAAATCTACTTTGTTTAAGAAATAACTTTAGATTTGAAATAAGCCTAAAAGATAATTGTCATACTTAGAAATCACAATAAACAAACTCAATCCTAAATATAACATCTAAAGTTACTAAATTAGATACCCTTAATGATGATATAATTGATAACTTAAATCGTTTATGAAAATATCTCTCTAGAATAGCAGACGAATTGCCGTCTGCCAGCATTCGACCCATCTTTTAACCCCCAACATAAACACCAGTGATACAAGTCCCTATTATCCAGCTCTATCTAAACTATACAAATCATTTTAGTCTTGCTCATCAAGTCATCTCAAAAAATTAACATTGAAATTGGCTATTGTAAACCTTTTCACAAGATATTCTCAGCCAACTCTGAATTATAAACAATTTTCTTGCTTACATTATCTTTATTTGCTATTGAAGTCACCAAATATAGTAACTTTTGAAACATTAATAGCCATATTTTAAAATTTGAAGCATATTTTCAGATAGACACTATGTACTCAACAGCCAAAAACCTCTACACTCCAAAATCCCACTGCCAACCTGTTTATTAGAAAATATCTGCAAATTATTTATTTAATGCAATTCATTTTCTCTTAGACGTAAAGTCATCAAATATTGCAATAATTGAAACATTGAAATTTATAATTAGTATTTAAAACCAGGTTTTCTCATTGACACTAAATGTACTTAAAATCTGTATCGCTCTATTGTATTATAGGTGTGCAAAATACAGGCAATGATTTTATTTATATATATCATATTTTACTTTTTACTCTTTTATACATACTCAACTCTTACACTATACACATTATAAATAATTTTACTGTTCACTCTTTTATATCTACTCAACTATTAGACTATACATATTATAAATAATCAAAAATATTTGTTTTAATTATTGTATATTATTGTATTTTACTTTGCCTGTGTGTCATATATACATGTAGTAACAGGGAATACTTTGCCCGTGTGTGTCTTATATAGTAACAGCCAATACTTTGCCTGTGTGTGTCTTATATAGTAACAGGGAATAAGTAAAAAAATTAATTAAAGGTGTGGAAATTATAAAATACTGTAAATATTATAATGTATAATTATATTCTGTGAATAAATATATTACAAGCTAAAATAAATATCATTAGTATATCATGTATTATATAGCTGACTGATATAATTACAATATCATTAGTATATCATGTATTATATCATTACAATATTATTAGACCTCTACTATTGATCAATCAATTATATGTTATGATACTTCGTTTAGTCATAAAATACTATATTACTCGTCTAATGATAGCAGTTGTTTTAATGTTGATTCATTTCACTTGAATAGATGTTCGTTATACCCATTATAAATAATTACATCACTTGTACAAAATAGCTTAGGTTAACCTTTGTTACAATTCTGATTCATTCCACATGGGAGCCACGGTGGCTCAGTGAGTAAGACGTTAACTCGCTAACCTGTCAGTGATGTAGGACAACGTATAGTCCTTTGGATGGGATGAAACACCAAGGTGAGGTCCATTGTACATATTGGCATGCACATAAAAGAACCCTTGAGAGTTGGAATTGGAAATAAGAGTAGGCCGTAGAGCCTCTGTCCGAACAAAATTTATCTCATAGCACACTGCATTAGCCCAGTCGGAGCTGAACAGTAGGACGTTAAAATCCATTTCATTTCATTTCACTTGAAATATACTGATTATAGACATTAATAATTCCCATCATATCTTGTAATACAGTAAACTTTGATGTTAATTATTCTCCACTATAAACCAATGATATGCTGTGTTTAGTATTAATTGGCCATCTATTATAGTTCATATAATATTAATAGTACATCATACTATGATATGCTTGGTTTAGTATTAATTGGTTATCTATTATAGTTCATATAATATTAATAGTACATCATACTATGATATGCTTGGTTTAGTAGTAATTGGCCATCTATAATAGTTCATATAATATAAATAATATAGGATGTAGGTAATAGTTAACATGTACAGAAATTATTCACCTTAATAAGAGAGAGAGAGAGAGAGAGAGTTTCGTTATTAACATATTTTTCAATTTTATGTAAATGATTCGCTTATGCGTATGGGTCTTTAGAAGTGGGAGCAAAATTAAGAGGATGGGCCCTACTTCTTGTCCCGTACAAGCGGGGAATCGAAACCACACCACTTGACTCATTGCAGACCTTATGATCCAACGCGCATGCGTTAACCTTTCGGTCACGCAACCTCCCGCAATATTTGGAAGATTAATCTCTCAACTAAATATCCGCTTCAACCATAAGGATATTAAAGATACATTGTCACAAATATATTTATCAGGTGGTTATTCCCAGTAAAAGTATGACATGATATATATGTATTTATCAGGTGGTTATTCCCAGTAAAAGTATGACATGGATCTTACTGGATTACGCGAAAAACAGGAACTGGGCAAAAATGTCAGGGTATCACTAACTGCCAACCAGACGGCTCATTGTATGCTAGTTTAACTGAGGGAGCCAACACGACGGCTTATTGTATGCTAGTTTAACTGAGGGAGAGGTTGTTATTTCTTGATCGAACGGTTTGTATACGGTGAAGTATCTTTAAAATATTCTGGCTTATCTTGATATAACTGACGTTTTAGTCATATAACCACAAAATAAAATAGGAATGTAATTTATAACATTTCGTTAACACAACACAATACTACCGGCTTTTTATTCTGTTATTAAGGGATGTTATGCTAATGAGAAGAATTTTGCCCTGACAGCGGCGTTTCATCGAATGTATTTTACGTGCACGCCAATGTATACACGTAGGAACCATCCGAAGGACTAGTCAGCCCAATAGACGTTATACCCCTGACAGGTGAAACTCAGGCTTGACAAACCTCAAGGTTCTTCTCGAGAATCGAACTTAATTCCCTGACATCAATATGTTATTATCACAATACTTAGACATTGATTTATTGTCTACGGTATCAACTCAATGGAAGCGGACATAAATTAACCTTGGTATTATGTCAAGTATTATATTATCAAGGGAGTCGCGATGGCTCAGTGAGTAACGTCTATCATAGAGTCAATTGGCGTGGACTCGGTTCCCCGCATGTACGTGACACAGAATAGGGTAGCCTGTCCACCCTCGTGGGTTTTTTCCTGGTCTATCATATACATAGAGTCAATCTGCATGGAGTAGGTTCCCCGCATATACGTGTCAACGAATCTCGTGGGTTTTTCCGGGTCCTGAACTGCGGTTTCCCTCCACTTAACCCCATATCTATCTATCTTTCTCTCTAAATATAATCTAAACGTGACATGTTAATACTATTATAAAGATAGATCTAGGAGTAGCCCGTGTCACCAACACTAACAATATCCGTCGTCCTTTAATATAACATACATTCATAATACACCGCTAGATATGCATAGTGCTAGATATGCATTCATATATATAACATAAATATAGTCTCAATATATATCACACTATAAGTTGATCTACTTCCATACTACCTATGAATACTAACTCAATGCATGAAATTCAAACAAAAATCGAAATAATAGAACAAAATACAATACAAGGTTACGATATTCTAAAATATATAAATTAGCTGAGGTCAAAAACAGTGCTAAAAAGCAAATTAAACAATTAATCAATCAAAATAATACAGTATTGGATAATGAACAAGATATTCTAGACACAATTCACCAATATTACCAACAACTATATACTACCCAAAACATTGTCGAAAACCTAATAAACTCCTATATTGAAAACAGTAACATAAATACCCTAACACGGAAAGAGATTCCCTGTCTCATTTCATATCTAAAGATGAAGATCTGAAGGCGTTACAAAGTTTCAGATCAAACCGTAGCCCAGGCATCGACGGTATTCCAGGAGATTTCTATATCAAATTCTTTGACACAATAGGAACCGACCTGACAGAAGTAATAAACAACATCTATCTACAGGGTGAATTATCTAACCCAATGAGAACCGGTATAATAATAATTAATTATAAGAATAAATTGTTTGTCTATAAGAATAGAGGCGACCACCGATTATTTAAGAACTATAGACCAATAAGCCTGTTATGTGTCGACTATAAAATCATCACAAAAATATTAAGTATATGAATGAACACAGTTATTAACAAATTGATCTCTAAAACACAAACGGGAGCCGGACCAAATAAAAGCACCTTCGATAACCTGTATTTAATTGATTCAATCCTAAATTATTTAGAAACACATGAAACTAATGCCTATATCTTATCGTTTGATTAGGAAAAAAGCCTTTGACCGTATTGAACACAATTATATAAAAACCCTACTAAAACATATGAATTTTCCAAATGACATTGTAAATTGGGTTACAATACTGTTTAAAAATTTGAAAAGTAAAGTTCAAGTAAATGGATCCTTCTCTCAAAATATCAAAAATAATCGTTCGATCCGTCAAGGTTGTCCACGATTCTTTATTCCTTACGTATAAATGTTGGCTCCGTATATAGCTCTCAACTAAATTAAGATAAAACCGAAATCCACCATGTTGGTGTTCGTAAACCATCCCATGACTCATTTCCTGAAAATATAAACATAAACATTAAAACAGACACAATTAAATTACTTGGCTTTTGTTTTGAGATCAATAAAATGGAAAAAAATATGGTTACCCCTCATCATGACGATTAAATCAACTATTAGTCACTGGTCTACTTACAACCTATCGATTAAAGAAAAAGTCTGTACTTGTACTGGTCACTCATTGATAGTAAGAACGTACAACCAAAAATAAACAAACACCTACCTCATATAAATTTTGAAAAAGTTTGGCATAATTTATATAAATGTCCAACACTATCTGAAATAGAAAAAGAATTTATGCACAAAATAATACACAATGCATTTCCCACAAAAGATATTCTCCACACTCGAAATATTTACGTAGATGACTATAAATGTCAATACTGCAAGAAAAATAATGAAACCTACAGTCACTTATTTCTACACTGCCCTAAATTACAGCACTTTAAATCCTTTGATACTACACATATAAACAATATACATTCCACAAAATACTTCCATATCATGTATCTCTACCTCTGGATCATATGGTCCAACAGAATGCATCCCTATATCAACAACATCTCCAACCATCTGATATACCAATTCTATACAAAAAGAAAAGAAAAGAAAATATAAATAAAATCACCAAGCTTCACCCTACTCTGCCTTACTAAATTCTCTGGTGTAAGGCAAATTATCGTTCTGTGTGAAGCTTCTAAATTAATTACTCTATTATGTGACTAAGCAGATCGTGCTATTTACTTTTAAGTTGCCATAACTTGGCATCTTAATCATCTTTCGTTTTCGTTAAATGGCACTTTCATACTGTGTCGTATAAACAAAATACCCATGCACCCACCGAAATAATTGTATGTTCAAAAGAAAAAAAAGAAGCAGGTGCAGGTTCGAAGGCATGGCAAGAGGAATATCAGTTAAGTCGTCCACGAGCAAAGTCGTCCACACGAAAAATCTGGTGAAGTCGTCCACACTCGTTGGTGCAGTCGTCCACATAGGCGTAGGGGGAAATTTTTGACTGGGGGGCGGGGGGCGGGCGGTGGTGGTTGGTGCCAAAAAAATGTAGTTAGGTTCTTAGTATGTTACATAATAATAATAAATTCGCTGTTAAATTGGACACATTCAAGAACACAATATTTTTTTTATACAATTTTTACAAAGTACAATTGTGTGCCCAAATACGTTGGTTAAGTCGTCCACACGACATAGTTTACTTTCGGGACACATTCGCTTTATCATTTCGGAACATCTCCACGCTAGAGCGGGCCCGTTTATTAATAAACAACAAAGTAAATTGTACACTAAAATATATTAACAATCAAATATTTATTTTTTCAGTTACAACAAAAAAGCATTAACGAAGGATTTTTCAGGCGGGATATCCGTGTGGGGAAGAATCGCCATGGAATTGTTGCCACAGAGAATCATTGAATTTGTTATATTTGTGAAATTGTTATGTATTGAAATTTTATTGTACACTTTATATTAAATTTTATTGTAAATTTTATTGTACACTTTATATTGTACACGTATCATCTGCGGGCACTGGATCATCTATTAACCTAAAAAATCAAATAATACAAAATACTAATTAACCAGGGACGAAATGGCTCGGATGGGACAAAAAACCGAAGTCTCGTGTATGTGGCGTGCACGTTGAAGATTCCTTGAGAGTAGGCCGCAGCGCCGCTGTCCGCTCTAAGTGTCCCTCATAGCACACTGTATGGCGTATGCCCGTTTTCGTTAGCACAGTGGGATCAGAACAGTAGTTTGCTGTAGTTTACAAGTGATTCCAATCGCTTAAAGTGGCAGATCGAGACATTAACCTAATTCCGTTCTAAACAGGGAGCCAAAGGGTGCTAGCTTACTAAGTGAGTAAGACGTTGGCTTGTAAGCATGGAGGTCGCGGTTCATCTGGATTTTCCGATGTGGTTTACCTTTGTCAGTGGTGCAGGACGGAGGGCCTGCCAAGGACAGCTATCTAGTCGTTCGGATGGGACGAAAAACCGAGGTCTCGTGTATACATTGGCATGCACGTATGCCTTGGCAGTTGGAATTATTGGGTATTATTAATTGGGTGTTATTGTGTAATTCAATACGCCCGGTCGGGGCATATTAGAAAAAATGTTATAGGCCAAGGCATGTCATAGATTTAACATTAAAATCACCTGGGGAAAGAATTACTAATTACTAATTACTGACATCATAATTATGAACATGCTTAGAGTTATAGCCCTTGATTTCACATAAAACGTATCAAAGCTATATACAGGGCTGAGTTATTGCCCGAATTTCATGAAATTTGCTAAAATCCATATCAGCGTGAATTTGACCATCTTTCTTTTATTTAAATTTGGTTTTGGTGTTCAATAGGAGAATGTCTCAGTCACGAATACGGAAGGACTCCTCACTTTTTTTTCTATTTGCAATTTTTCTATATACACCCACGCGTAATATAGGCGTATAGAGTTGTCGGCTGTCGGTCAGCTGTTTCGTTACACAAATTTACAAACCTTGACAGGATGATCCATATCCATTTATCCTGCATTGTTGTAGTTTTATAGTAAAATAGATAGGGTGACTAATGTCGTCCAAGTTTATAAAACAATCAATTATTGTACCAGGTGAGAATATATAATAAAAATACATCACCTATTGATATATAATTATATATAAATAATCTTGTCTTGGAGAGCGGCGCGACAGCTTACTCTTACACGGAATTCCAATACCTGCACGCCTGAGTAGACAAGAACTGTCGGAACAACTAGGTGTTATCTATTGCCAGGCCCAAAGTCCTGCACAATGGAAAACGGGGGAACCACGCCAGTTCATGACAGTACATTTAACCCCGTATTTATCACAGTCACACCCAATATATATAATACTAGAATGGGGTTTAACGTCTCCTCAATTTAAGACTAATTAATGTATTTTTCTTTTCAATCGCCAGGCGTGCAATACGATGGTGAACTTTGCCTGGAATGCCGCTTTTTACCCTATCCGATGGATTAGGCACATTTCCTTTGTCAATTCCGCCGGGGCCACCCTGAAAAGCGAGAACGAGTTCTTCTCGGGCCCATGGCGTGATTCGAACTCTAAAACGCAATTTAAAGTAATATTTAACTGTAAATGATGTTACATCAAAACCTTCTTTTAATTTTCTCTACCTTAATTATGGGGGGTTGGATGGCGGAATGGTTAGCACGCGCGCTGTACCATACGGCCTGTCATTGAGTGAACTGGCGGGGTTTCGATTCCCCGGTTGTACGTGACAAGGAGTAGGGTCGCCTGTCCAACCTCGTGGCTTTACTCCGGGTCCCCCGGTTTTCTCCCACTGCTAAAGACCCCTACGCACAAGCGAATGATTAAAATAAAATTGAACCATGTGTTAGTCACGAAATGACCTACTTTGTGTCGAGTGGACGTTAAACCCCATTTCTCTCTTTCACCTTAATTATGTTTTATTAGTCGCTACCCACTGTAAAATAGGGTGTTGGATGGCCGAATGGTTAGCGCGTGCGTGTTGTATCCAGGGGCGGATTGGGGCCGGGAAACGGCCCGAGGTCCCGTGTCGGAGCGGCCCCTTTTACTGATCGCGGAGCCCGGATGGGGGAGTCCGGGTGCTCTCCCCCGGGAAAATTTTGAAAAATGGGAGGCCATTTCCCGCAATTTGAGACCATTCCCGACATCCCAATTCTGTAATTTCATCTCTGTAAATAACGAGTTAATAAAAATGTTAAGGAATGTTTAACACCAGTCTCAGGAAATCGTCTCGCACTCATATTCAGCAAGCAGACTAGCTATCATCAAATTTTGCTGAGGCCTTAAAATTGAAATTTTTTTTTGAGTTACAAACGATCGGCAGACGTTTCTGACGTATCCCCAGAAACAGGGTGCAGGGGACTTAATAATTAGTAAATTTGCCGGTGAAAGTGTCTGGTGAATCCGGTGAAATTTTCGGATTCCGAATTCCGGCCCACACCCAGCACACCCGGCCCAGAAAGTCTATTATACCAGCCCATTCCAAACTCCAGTGATGGCGTGGCAGCCCGTTAAAGCTACCGGCCACATACAACATGATCATCATCGCTGCATGACCGGTTCAATACCCCCCCCCATATAATGTTCAGAAGAAAAAGGTTTTATTAGACGAATTGCACAAAATTATTTTTTTCATTTTTTGTCTGACCGGCCGATGGCCCAATCCAGCCCTGGGTGTTTCATAAGGTCTGTCATCCCCGGTTGGATGTGACAAGGAGTAGGGTCGCCTGTCCAGCCTCTTGGGTTATCTCCTTGTCCCCCGGTCCCAGCCCTACGCGCAAGCGTATTATTGAAAAAATTGAAATACACTGTATATGTTAGTCCCGAAATTACCTAGTTTGTTTCGAGTGAACGTTTAACCCTATCTTCTCCCTCTCCATTGTAAAATACTGATTATTTGTTTGTTCTCAAATCCCCCCCCCCCCCCCGCACCAACAGTTGTAATAAAATAAGTTTATTTTAAACAATAAACCACAGCACATAATTATGGAAATAATAATTTATTTTGACATTAGGAAGTAATCGCTCTTTCCACCGTAAGAATATAAAAAAAAATGTCCGCCTAGTATCCGGTATCAATTTTGGCCTATCTTGATATTACTGATAACCACAAAAAACACAACACACTACTCCCGCTTTTTTCTGAAATGAAATGAAATGAAATGGGGTTTAACGTCCTACTGTTCTGCTCCTAACCTGGGCTAATGAAGACGGGCATACGCCATACAGTGTGCTATGAGGGAAATTTTGCCCGGACAGCGGCACTACGGCCTACTCTTATATCGAATTCCAACTGCCAAGGGATCTTTTACGTGCACGCCAATGTGTACACGGGACCTCGGTTTTTCGTCCCATCCGAACGACTAGACAGCTTTCCTTGTCAGCCCCTCCGTCCTGCATCACTGACAAGGGAGAACCACGCCCGCTTTTTCTGTTGTCAAGGATGTGATACTAAAGAGAAGAATCTTGTCGGGTCATGGGCATTTCATCGAATTTCTTTTAAGAGCACGCCAATGTATACACGGGTGGACCTCTGTTTATCGTCACATCCGAAGGACTAGTCAGCTTAACGGACGCTGTCCCTGGCAGACGAAAATCAGGATCGACAAATCTCAAGGTCCTTCTCAAGATTCGAAATGAAATAAAATGAAATGAAGTTTATCGTCCTACTGTTCTGCCCCGAAATGGGCTAATGAAGACGGATATCCACACAGTGTACTTTCAGGGAAATTCTGTCCGGGCAGCGACACTACGGCCTACTCTTATATCGAATTCCAACTGTCAAGGGATCTTTTACGTACACGCCAATGTGTACACGGAACCTCGGATTTTCGGACCCTCCGAACGAATAGACAGCGGTCCTTGTCAGGCCCTCCGTCCTCAATCACTGACAAGGGGGAATCACGACGGAAAATCTGGATGAATTTAACTTTCTCGACCAATACAGAGATCGAACACCCAACCTCCAGGGTAGCGAGCCAGCCTCGAGATTCGAACTCAATCCCCTGACTCGTTGACTACCACGACCATCAATATGTTAATATCAGAATACTTAGACATTGATTTATTGTCTACGGTATCATCTCAATGGAAGCGGACGTAAATTAACCTAGATATTATGTCAAGTATTATATTATCAGACGAGTCGCGGTGGCTCAGTGAGTAAGACACTCGTTCGTTAACCAGAGGGTTATGGGTTTGATCCCAGTGTTGGTTGAGAAAGCTATTCGGGATTTTCCGGCTTGGTTCCCCTCTCTCAGTCCTGCAGGAACACCGTCTAGTCGTTCGGATGGAGCATGATACTAAAATCGGAGAGTCCCGATGAACTTTCTAAGTAAGGATATAGCGCCATGTGGACCCAGCCGTGTATATTATATCTAGAGGTTTATTAACTAGTTGATATATTACTACATTGTTGAAGATACCAAGTTGGAGACATACCTGTGTATAAAATTAAACGTATAAGCATTATAGTATATCTCCCTATAAGGTGACCTATTTTCATACTACATATAGTCATAATATTATAATTATAGACGTACACCGACAGATATAGTGTCAATATGATGTAGCGCGATAGTGGTAGCCTCTGTTACCCACTCAAACAATATCAGTTGTAGTTGATATACACAGTTATAGTCTGGGTGACAAAGGCTAATGTCGAAGTTCATTATATTAAAACGAAAATAGAATTTCAGAGAAACCCGAGCAAACTTACGCATGCTCAGTCTACAGCATATAGCGTGATATTTTTAGCCTCTGTTATCCACACGCTAACAATATCAATGGTAGTTTACGTACACGGTTATAGTCTGGGTGACAAAGCCTAATGTCGAAGATCGTTATATCAAAACGAAAATAAAAATAGAATTTCCAAGAAACTGTAGCAAGTTTACGTATGTTCAGTCTACAGCATAAGAAGAACAAACTGCGAAAGACGAAGAAAGACGTGAATTTCTATGTGATTTACATGTTTTGTTTGAATTTAATACTTTTGATTTTTAGTTCATCTATCTCGATATCAAGTATTATATTGTTTGATTTTGTATTTTCATCCAGTTTGAACTCGTATTGTCCACAATTATGTGACTTAGACGTTTCTAAGAAACTATATCAAGTTTATGCATGTTCAGTGTACAGTCCAAGGAAGATAAACTGCTCGAGAAGATGTCAGGCGAGGTTAGACGATTTGGCTAAATTTAGCAGTTTTGATTTCTAGGATATCGTATATATTATATTTAGCCTAATTGTTTGTTGTTGTTTTGTCTAGTTTATACAACCAGTGCAACAAACAGTTATTTAAAATGGCAGAGAAGGAAGTGTGTAGTATTTGTTTGAACGAATTTCAACAACGCGTGGTACTCGATTGTGCACACCCCTTTTGTTTTATCTGTTTAGAAGATTATGTGAACAAAACCTCCACTAAAGATCAGTTCCAATGCCCATTATGCCGTAGTTTTATAAATCTCAGTGACGGAGGTCTGGATCGATTTAAACCTAAACCAATTAATATTCCTCAATGTGATGTATGTACGGAAGATACATGTCAATATTTCTGTCGAGACTGTGATCAATATTTATGTAAATCATGTAAAACCACGCATGATAAGTTAAAATCTTGCAAAGACCACGTTGTGTCTCGATATGATGAAACACAGATCTATCAAGCGCCTACTTCACACGAAACAATAAAGGAAAAAGCTTCGGCTTCGTCTATCACAAATCCTAAAGATTTCTGTCTGCGCCATGAAAAGGAGACCGTAAAAGTCTACTGTAAAGATTGTACTGTAGCCGTTTGTTGGAAATGTTTCGTGGCCGATCATAATGGACATCATTTTTTAGATTTACAGGAGGATGAAGGCAGACAAAGTATCAGACACGATTTAAAATCACTGAATGATGAATTAGAAAAACAAATCACTAATTTTCAGAAACATTATGATAATTTAAATAGTAAATTAATTGAAGTCAAACAATGTACAAAAACTGAATGTGACAAAATAGATGCACAGGTTGAGAAAATCTGCTCAGAATTTCACAATATCGGAGAAAATATTAAAAAGGAAATGCAGAAAGCTAGTGAAGAGGAAGAATCCAAATTCAGGAAATTGATGGAGGACATTAAAAAAACTAACAGAAGATTTAAAAGCTAGTGTTAAATATTCAGTGAATGTTTTAGAAGATTCATCCGTTGTTCAAGTTTTACAAAGAATACCTAAAGTTAGACAGGAAAAAGATGAAAGTTGTTGTAGAAAATTGGATATACCTGATGTAAGATATTCAACATTTCAAGTAGCAGATATAGATAAAACTTTGTTAACTAATCAACTTGGTAAAATTGTAAGTTGTCATCAGAATATGATTGGTAAAGTTGTAAGTTGTCATCAGAATATGTTTGAAGATGTTTTTAATGTGGATACTGTGAGAGAAGGTTATGATGGTTGGTATTATGGTAAACAACATGTAGTTTCAGGTTTTACATGGAGTATTGATGTGGGTAAACTAGAATCATCTTTATTCTGTTTTGGATTAAACCTGAATGACGTAGAAGATAAAAATATTACGTCATGTAAAGTTGACGTCACATATAAAGTTATAAATAAAACAGATGATAGACAATCTGTAGTTAAACAATGTAATAGGACTGTTGAACCTCGTGGTAGGACATACTGTCGTACTGATATTATTAACTGGAAGAGACTCATTAATCCTGGCAGTGGATTTATTGATGATCATAGAAACTTTACAATTCAAGTAACAATTAATGACATAACTGACATTAAAAGATGTTAATAATTAGACTACTGTTATGGCTGAATGATTGTTAAATAATGTTTTGTTTACGGTGTAAGGGAGATAACATTATTTCTATCCGAAATGGAATAAATTATGGTCAATCGCTGGAAGAAGTAGTTGATAGTTTTTTTCAGATGGAACTTTAATACATGTATAATATCATTCCATATTATAATAAAAAATGATTCCAGATGGAGCTAAAATACGTGTATAATATCTTTCCATATTAGAATAATAATTGTAAACTCTTTGTATTGTTGTTTTATTATGAAGCACTGGTAGTAACCAACAGGTCAAGGGAAACAAAACAAGTTACTGAACACAGGCATTCCAACCCATTCTTGTTCGACACCGGCTTTGACTGAGAAAGTTGAACAATTTCCAGCCTGTTTTCCACTTTGTTAGGAAAAACGTGTAGTTACCATTTTTAAAACAGTTCTTGATCTTGAAGTCTGTTAACTTACATTAATGCAATAAGAAAAAAACCTGTGCGCCGTTAATATAGAGGTAGCAGTTTACTGTTAAAGGTACACCAGTGGGAGGAAACCGGTGGACCCAGGGAAAACCCAAGAGGTTGGACAGGCGATCCTACTCATTGTCATGAACAAGCAGGGAATCGAAACCACGCCACTTCACTCAATGAGAGACCTGATGATGCCACGCGCACGCATTAACCATTAGGCAACCCAACCACCTCTCACTAGAAGATAGGATAGAGGGTTACAAATCTGATCACAAATTTGTATTAATACCTACTTTAAATTAATAGCTGACTTAATTGGGTAGAAACGCCATTGTACGGACTAAATTCTCCCCTGTGCATTGCATTGTGAATCGTTATGTAAAAAAGTGAAGCAAAGTCTCTATATATTGGTGAGATTACAAGATTGTACCAAGGGTTAAGTAATTATCAGGAATTGTTCTTCTTATATAAAATATTCTTCGAAATGTCGCCTAAATATGGTACCTATTAACCATAAGCATGGTTAATACTGGTTTAGTCTATCCAATTAGTAAAACAAGCCAAAATATGGTAGCTGTTTACCTTAAGCATGGGTAATAGCATGTTAGTCTATCCAATTAGTAGATATCACTAACAGATTATTGCTCTGTCTTACTAGCTATCCTTGTATAACCCACCATACAAGTTGTACTGATGTCGTCATGTCACGTTATATAACACAGCTAGCAATATATATCTGATATGAACTGTAAGAAACTATACAGCTGCTATATAAGACTCTGACACATAAAAAAAACATGTTAAAAAGCCAAAATTAGTATAGAGCCCCCCCCCCCCCCCCCCGTCAAATACACCCGCTTATAATTCTAAACTAGTTTATGATAACACATCCACTCGAGTTGGTGAAGTTGAAGGTAGACAAGTGAAATGATATGAAATAAGGTTTAACGTCCTACTGTTCTGCACCGACTGGGCTAATGAAGACGGGAATATACGACAAACTGTGTGTTATAAGTGAAATTTTGCCCGGATAGCGGAGCTGACTCTTATTTCGAATTCCAATTGTTAAGGTTTTTTTAAGGTCCCCGCCAATGTGTCTACGGGTCCCCGGATAGTCGTCCTATCCGAACGCCTACACACGTTGCCCCGTGCCCGTACCACTGACAAGGAGGAAATATGCCGGAAAAAAAACGATGAACTTTCTCGGCCAACGATATGAGACCTCCAGGTTAGCGAGCCGACGTCCTACCCACTGAGCAACCGTGGCTTCCTTTTGAAACTTGACAAAGTGAAATGAAATGAAATTTAACGTCCTATCAACACCGACTGGGCTAATGAATGGGGACATACGCCATACAGTGTGCTATGAGGGGTCTACTCTTATTTCGAATTCCAACTGTCATGGGTTCTTTTACGTGTCCGACAACATTTAACGTCTTACTAATCACCACCGACTGCAATGAGGGGCCTTCTTTTATTTCGAATTCCAGTTGCCATGGATTCTTTTACGTGCCCGACAACGTGAAGACTGCATTTAATGTCCCTCATAGTACACTGTATGGCGCATGCCCGTCTTTATCAGCCCAGTCGGAGAAGAAAAGTAGGACGTTAAACCCCATTTCATTTCTTTTCTTTTCTAAATATTGAGCTGGAGATTTTGATCGCGACTTTTTTGGAGTTTTTCCACCGGTAATTCGAGACTATACTATACGCTCAGTCAACCAGTCCCCTCTTACTTTATGACTCATTGGAAAATTAAACGAAACGCGACATTTTGCGTAGGTTTATGAGCCGGATGAGTGGGAGGGGCAGAAATGATGAGCCCGAAAAAAAAATCCTTTGGTTTTGCAACCGAAATCCCATGCTATGTCCACCCGAATTCCAATCAACCAATCAATCAGACGTCGGCATTGACCCGATGCCTGAAATTTCACACCCCGGGAAACAAGGCTCATGCCATGTAAAATGTGGCGCATAAAGCAGAGTGACAACTCTACTATTGCGCTAAACACTGTTTATTACACTGATTTAAAATGTGTAAATGTTAAGAGTGGTACTTGAGCTTTATCTCCGATAGGAATGTTTCTTAAGAGCTGAAAATGTCATATAGATTAAATTGTCGTACATCTCTGGACACTGTATCGGCACATGATGTACAGGAGCATGGGAATATACACTCTGTCTCTGTCTCCCCCTCTCTCTCTCGCTAACAAACAGACAGTGCTAGATTGACCTGTGGGCTTGACAGGATGAAACCTAGGAGGGTCTCAAGATATGAGGGTCATCGGGCCAAGATATGGGTGAGTGGAGGGTGGTGTGGGGGCTTATCGGGCCATGATTGGGGGGGGG